CTAAACAGTAATCTGTGAGTTTTGAGGATACACGCCCGATCCTTGGGTACTCCGCCCTATATAACCGAGTTTTTAGGATACACGCCCAATCCTTGGGTACTCCACCCTATATAACCGAGTTTTGAGGATACCACCCGATCCTTGGGTACTCCACCCGACATAACCGAGTTTTGAGGATACCTCCCGATCCTTAGGTACTCCACCCGACATAACCGAGTTTTGAGGATACCTTCCGATCCTTGGGTACTCCACCCGACCTATGATCTACCACATATCATACTAGATAGGGTCTATATCATAATCAATAAACAAGACTAAACCAAGTCTTAAGGCTTAAGCAAAATCATCCATGCAATTCATGCATTAAAAATCAACATATATGCAGTATAAGGCCAAACCGGTGCCAGTTCAAACCTGACCGGTGTCGGTTCATAATCAATTAATATGAACCGGGCTAAACCCGCTCAAACCGGCGCCGATTTTATGCATGACCGGCGCCGGTTGCCCTGGACAACCGATCAACTCTCAGTTGACCCGCTATTTCAAATCCAATATGTGTCAAACTTAATTACAACATCTATTAAGTTATAAACAACCATATTTAGGGGTGGTTCGGTACGGTATACCGAATATTTTCTCTCATACCTTTACCGTACCAAAACTTTTGGTATGCAAAATTTATATACCGTTACCTTACCGAAGTTTTGGTATACCGCATTTCGGTATACCGAAGTTTCGGTTCGGTAACGGTACGGTATCGGTAAATTACCATGCATGTCTCCCAATACAACAAATTATCATAGACTAACGAAATATGCTAAATCGGTGTTAGTAGTGACATATTTATTTCATTATTAAAATTTTACAAATATAATTAATAATCTTTTGATGTCATACTCAATATTGAACAATAATTATTATTAGTATATTTAAGCACTTCAACATGCCATGTATTAAAAAACAACACATTCTCCTAAAATAACTTGAACGATATAGATATAATTAAATCAATAGTGATCTCTTCTAACAATAATAAATAAAATTATTCAAACAACATGGATATAAAATCATTTATTTCTAATACTACCTCTGTCCCAAAATGTTTAGCGAAATCTCAAAATTTGGACCATGGTTTTGATAAGTATAATATTATGAAAGTTATAAATTTTATACTTTTATGAAAGTACTTTTAACAAAGAACATTTTCATATAATTTTTATGTTATAAATAATTTCCAATAAATATATATTAATCATCAAAGGTTTGGATTTGACTAATAATTTTGGGATGGAGGTAGTATGATATTGCGCATTTAGTCATTTTTATATTTTTTTAAAAAAATGAATAAGACTTTCGGATAAAGTTGTGTGTCTCGAGTCGTGGAATCCCTATGTAGATACACCTGTCACATAAGTATACCTCTCTCCACTCATCAGCTACTCAGCGACTCAGTCATCGCAACTCGCAAGCTCTTGGAACAAGATGAACTTGGTTTTGGACATTAGTACATTACTAATTAGTCATTGGAGATTTGTAACAAATGTAAGTATTCATTTTGGGCTTCATAATTGTAATGGCGTTTTAAAATACTCTAGAATTAAAAGTAATAATTGTTGGGTAGGGAGTCGGTACGGTATTATACCGGTATACCGCGGTATTTGAAAACATTTATCGTTACCGTACCGAAATAAATCGGTACGGTATGATACCGTACCGAAAATGACGGTATACCAATATTACGGTATTTTTCGATATTTTTCGGTACGGTAAGTTCGATATACCGATTTTCCGGTATTTTTGCCCACCCCTACCATATTATGCACCATTTATCTCTAAACATATCACATGTTTTTTAAACGTTTTCATATCACAAATCATGCATATCTCAATAGTTCATTTCATACAAGTCTAATCACTTTGGCTAATCACATGTTTAATCTCATTTAAACATTATAATGAACACATATAACATTTACTTAGGTAATCTCATGCTTAACCCAAAAGTTACAAGACATTAAGTCATCCACTCACCTCAAATGAGCTTTAAGAAGTCCTACCCTTCTTGGTTGAACTCCGGCGAACTCTAGAAACACTTCAGTCAAGTTCCTAACATGGTTTTATCATCACAAAACTCATATAACACACAAATAACCTCTAAAAGGTTTTTTCCGACGAATTCGGTCATTTTGACTTCTAAGTCCGTTCTTTGACTTAGAACTACCTTCGAACCCCTTGTTCTACACTTCTAAACATGTAGAACAATTCTAGGGTTCCTCCATATGATATATATGTTATATGATACATAAAAAGTAGGAGAAAAGTTATTATAAGGTTATTACCTTAATTCTTCACACTTTTCCTACTTTTTCCTTCCTTAATCTTCTTCCTTGGACCAACCTTGCTTGAGCTCGTTTTGCAACAATGGAAGATGAACTTGGAGCTTTTTTCTCTCTCTTGGGAGGTCTTGGTCGAGCTAGGGGTGAGAGAGTGGATAGAGTTGCTTCTCTTGTCTCATTTGGGCAATGAGTGAAAGAAAAGAGGCCCACCTCTATTTTATTTAGATGTTCTTCATCTCAACCACTCCTCTCTCATAATTCAGCCCCTCTTTGTCAACCTTGAGCACACAAAAAAACATGGGGTGGCCCCCACCCATGTGGGAGGTCATCCCAACTTGTCCCGAAATGTACATTCGATTCCGAAAGTTGTATTTTTCGGATTGTTTTAATTATATTTTATTTTATCGAGTCAAATAAATATAACACATGTTCCTACTCATTGTAGGCCTTTAGAATGGATGTACATTCCCCAACTTTAATTTAGAAGTCTCTGAAATGCGTTTCAGACTGTTATCCGGTAAATTACCAATACCGGTAATTGGGCCTCGTTTGACCGACGGGTCAACGATATTCCCTTTCTATGGCCCAACTAAAATATCCACCACCATATACACATTATCTAGACCAAGATGAATATAATATGTGGTCCTGGAAATATCAGGTGGTCCCCGTTCCCGGTGTGGGCCCCACGTGCAATTTACTATTCACGCAAAAGAATTAACAAAAATTTACAACCTCGTAAATTCATAATTCATTCCTCAAGGTTTATTACATGATTTACTAAAAAGTAAATTTCACTTCAATTAAAAACATCTTTTTACCAATTGTAACTGATTTGATGGATACCCACATTTAACAACCTCGGTCAAAATCAGGACAATCGCACTGATCGGGTAACGGGTATGGAGTAGGGAATATTCGTATCATTTTTACGGGTAACAGGACGGTTACGGTTTTATACATGTCCGTTTCATTATCTGCTCGATTATTTTTAGTTAATTTTTATTATATTTTATCTATTATTTGTGCATATATGGACAATGAATGAATGTACTAACTTGAATGGAAGTTCATAATAGTTTTTAATAATCTTGTTTGATTATTATCGGATTTTTTTCGTGATTACTTGTTTTTCAGTTTAAGTATTTATAGGTTCAAATTAATTTCGGTTAACTTATATCTTGTATTGTAGATATATGAAACTTTTAAGTGGCGTCTGATGTCTAGAATCGTCTAGACGATGTCATTTTTCTTCTTTTAAAATAATAATTTTTATATTAAAATATCAATGATTCATTTCATAAAGCGGTTACCCGCGATTGTACAATTTATACTCGTTACCCTTTGAGGCGGTTATGATTTGAACAAGAATTACTCGTTGGATAATGAGGCGGTTACGGAGTGTGTACATTTTATGTATAGCAGTCCCCGACCCGTTGCCATGTCTATAAGGAGGGGGTGCAATTTGTTCACCCTCTACATGAAGGAGGTGAACATCACTCAATTTTTAAATAGTTAAAAATGCCGGGTAACATTTACTTTCTTTATGTATAGTAGTACCCGATCCGTCCGATACGCTTATTTGTTCCCCTCATTACCATGTGCGATCTCATTTCATTTTCTTTCTTTAAATAGTTATAACTTTTTTATTTATTATCCAATTTTTAACATTAGTAACAGGACACATTGTCAGGAAGATTGATTTCCGGACATGTTCTAAGAGAAGGTAATAGGGTAAGAGAAGGTAATAGGGTTGCACGTCATTTAGCCCATGTGGAAGTCATTAATGGACTCAAAGTTATTTACTTTAATCAGAATCAGCTTCCAATTAATATATTTAATTGGGTCAGGTTTGGTCCTCCCAATTCCTTTTATTTTCGCTTATTTGTTTTTTTTTTTTCGGAAAGAGTGTGCCCTTTCTGGGAAGGTTTGGGTCTAGTCCCCATCTCTTGATGTATTTTATTTATTCTAATAAAATACGGTAAATGTTACCCGGCATTTACCTCACCGATTTTGGTGGTTTACCTATCGAGAAAAAAAAAGTAACATGACTAATTTGACTTTTTCCCCTTTAAAATGTTTTTAACTTTAAATTAGAAAAAATAGTAACATGACTATTTGACCTTAAATTAGTAAAAAATAGTCTTTGAAAATAGAAACATAACAGAATTATTTGACCTTTTTCCCTTAAAAAAGGTTTTCCAACATTTGGTTTAAACAATGGAGTGTTTTTAAGTGACAACTTCTGCTTAAATTAAGCACTTAAAAGCTAAAAATTGGAAAAAAAAATGAAGGCAATGAAGAGGTGGTTTAAACTATTTTTTACTTTTCTATTATACACTAGGCATGGACTCGGGCCGGTCCGGTCCGGGCCTCCGACCGGGCTTTTTTTTAGGGAATCTTGAGGCACGGAACCGGCCCGGGTAGCTACCGAGCCCGGGTCGGGCCAGGTACCTTTTTTTCTAATTACTTCCTACCCCCCACCCCCACCCCAAACCCCTCCAAAACAACCAACCCAACCCATTTACCTTTTAAAAAAATTGAAAAAAATGGCCAAAACCGGTCGGGCCGGTTCATGATTTGGGAGCCTCGGGAACCGCCCCGTAACAGTACCGGGCCGAGTGGCCCGAACCGGGTACCGGGCCGAGCTGGGCCGTAATAAGACCGGGTCGGGCCGGTTTACCCGGGCCGGTTATGGGCCGATTTACCCTGCCCGAGTCCATCCTTTTATACACAATAACACATTTTTTATCAAACACTACCAACTTTTATTTCAAAAGCAGTTTTTTCTCAAACATTATCAATCTTTACTATAATACACTACTTCTAAAATCATTTTAAGTCATTTTAATTGATGGGAGTACTACAAGGGGTGTTGAGGTTTACCACATATCCGAAAGCCCAACACACGCTTTGGATATTAAGGACGTGGAAAATAGATCGAGGGTAAAAGAAAATAAAAAAACTGAAAGATATTGTACTCGAAAGCCCCTTGTATTAAGTAATTCGTTATTTACATGGAAACTTCCTGAACGGCAAATCGGAACAGTGACTAATACAAGAACAAGAGTGAGAAAGTCATTCTAGGCCTTGAGTATCAAAATGCTAACCCGTTACAATGTAATCAATGTCCCTATTTATACTATAAAAGGGTAGATGGGTGATGACGTGGCTGAACCCGACTGACTGCTGTTTTCTGTCACTTGGATGCCCACGCTCCCACTTGCTGACGTCATACTGTAGCATTAAATGCACCTGGCCACTTGTAGATTGACCGTTCAGGCAGCGGAATGGCGGTCATGTTTGTTGTGTTGCCAATCTGTCCCAAGTATACCATGTGATTTGTTCCCCGTTCGGGATATTGGGGTGACCTTTCGTGGACCCCTTGTTTCCCGTTCGGGGTAGAGTCTTCTTGGGCCCGTTTTCCTTCTAAGATCCTTAATGATCTTTGGTCCGGATGTTGGGCCTTCGGCCCAATATCCCAACACGAGTCCCCCACTTTCGATGTCTCAAACGATAGTGAGTGCATAAGGAAGTAGAGCTTTTGCGCCGCTTGGCGATCGGGAATCGAATCTCGCTGGTTCCCGATGCCATGGATTTGGTGGCCCATTGTGGCTGTCGTTTTAGTTTCTCCGTAATCATCATGTGATGGAGTATATGGCCCGGGAACCCCCGGTCCACAGACTCCTACTACGCCAATAAAGGCCCAACAGGCCCAGGAAGCACAACAGGCCCAAATCACAGCGCCCAGAGTACCAAGCGACCCACAGTGCGCACCAGGGGTGCCTTCGGCCCCCTGGCCGAAGGCTCCAATTCTCACAGGATGGCCAAATCAGGAAAACAAAGTTACTGGGAGAAAACGGCGAAAACCAGTAGCCCTCGGCACCTAGAGCACTCGACACTAAGAAGGTCTCCGGTGCTCAGTGCCCTCGGCTAAGCATCTACAACCGAGGGCACCTTTTCCGACATAATATCCGCTACACATGCGTATAGATCACCGTACCAAGTACGACGTCACATCCAACAGCCGCATTAAATGCGACCACATGCGTTTGCCAGCGCCAACCAGTTGAGGTGACCACTCGACCAATGGATGCTTGACACGTGTCCCTGTCCGACATTTATTGCTGCTATAAATAGCACCCCGTTTCACCATTTGTAACCAAGACACAAGACGCAAAAAACACTGAATACTTTCTAATATACTTTCTCTCTCTATACTCACTTGCTCTGACTTCTCTCTAGTTATTCCCCGTAATAACCCCTCGGATAAGCTACCCCCCGGGTACACTATCCATCATTTGGTGCTCTCGTTGAGAGGTCGAACAATCAAGTAAGAAACCCTCCCCCTCGACCAAACACAAAACACCTAGCTAAAATGGTGAGAACAACTCGTGCCAACTCCAGAAATGTTGAAGACAGGAACCTGGCCCTCGGCGAAGTCGACGTCCCCGAAGCCTCTAACAGGGCTCCCGGGGGCGGCGTCATCGCCGGGTTGGACCAGACGGCTGTCGACCTACGCCAGCAAATCCAACAGAATGCCCCTGATGCCCGCCTCGGCATCGAGGCCAAGAAGAAGGACCAGAGTGAGAATCAAATTAGCCCTCCGGTCATCACCATCGACGTGCAATCGGCGCTCTCCGCCTTCATCCAGACGCTCACCCAGAACCCGGGTGCCTTCGGCACTTTGGTTCCCCTCCAACCTCAGGTCGGGGAGAATATTATGCCTCCCCCTCATCCACACCCCCTCGGGAACCCGGTCCTCCGGATTGGGAACTCCGAGGGGGTCGTGGCCCAAGATACGGCCTCCCGGGAAGTCCAGTCCCGGGACCGCCATAACGTGAACAAAGAACAGCTTCAGACCTCCGCCCTCGAGAGACTCGGAGGGGCGCAAGACCGCCGAGGGGTCCAAGACTGCCTCGGGGGGAAGGCGTTCCAGAGGCCTCAGGCATTCCAGCTTCGGTCATTTTGACTTCTAAGTCCGTTCTTTGACTTAGAACTACCTTCGAACCCCTTGTTCTACACTTCTAAACATGTAGAACAATTCTAGGGTTCCTCCATATGATATATATGTTATATGAAACATAAAAAGTAGGAGAAAAGTTATTATAAGGTTATTACCTTAATTCTTCACACATATATAACGTTGTTTTCTCCGCATCATCTGAGTGCATGAGATCTGGTGATACCCCCCGAAAGGCATCCATGAAGCTCAGCAATTCGCACCCGACAGTTTCGTCCACCAATAAATTAATTATGGGTACCGGATAGGGATCCATTGGGCATGCTTTATTCAGATTGGAATAGTCCACACACATCCTCCAGGTTGTCCTCTTCGGAGCCAGAACCACGTTGGATAACCATTCCACATGTATGACTGGCTTAATATGCTTGATCTTCAGAAGTGTGGCCACCTCTGCCTTTGTGAACTCACGTCGTTCGGCTGACTGGTACCTTTTCCTCTACTGTATCGATTTAACCTCCGGCCGAACGGCACACTTGTGGTAAATAATTTCCGGGTCGATGCCCAGCATATCTTCTGGCCCTCGTGCAAACAAGATCTGGAATTCCTTCAGTGCGGCAATCACTCCTTCTCTGATCTCTGGTTCCAGATCCATCTCGATCGCGACCCTTCGGTCGGAGCCCAGAGGGTGAGTCGAGCTCGATTTGTTCTAACAATGTGGTCGGCTCAGAGCGTGCCACAAATTACGAGGCCTGAGCCTCCACCTCAATATTGTTGATCTGCATGCCCCGAGTATTCGTCGTTTTCATCGCCTCCCGATAGCAAGTTCGGGTTGTGGTTGGATCCGTCCGGGCTACTCCCACACTGATGTCGGTCGGGAACTTTATACAGGAATGCCGAACGGAAGCAATTGCCTCCAAATCGTCGAAGCCCGGTCGGCCTAATATGGCGTTGTGGGCACAATCAATGTTTACAACTACGAACGTCATACGGACAGCAGCTCGATGTGCTTCATCCCCAATCTCAACCAGAAGGGAGATGGTCCCCTCTACATCAATGCAGTTTCCCGTAAATCCTGTCAGCGGTGTTTTCAGTGGTTTCAACTGATCCTTCCTCAGCTTTATGGTCTCGAACATATGCAAATACAGAACGTTCACACTGCTCCCCATGTCCACCAACGCCCGGCGAACGAGAGCATCATCAATACACATACTCACCACCACTGCGTCCTTGTGCGGACTTGGAGATGCTGGCAGGTCGGCAGGACCGAACGTGATGGGTTCAATCCTGCCCTTCTTGTGTGGGGGGTAACAGATGCCACCAACAGACTTTGCTCGAAACGCTTCTGTTCGACCTTCGTATCTCCTGTCTCAGCTGCCCCAAAAATGACTTTCACTTCCATTCTTGGCTTTTCCCGGGGTTCCTTGATCCTTCCCCTTCTTCCCTTCGTGGAATGTATGCATCATTCTCCAGCTCCGCGTCTCGCTGATCACCCTGTCTCCAACTGTTGAATTTCTTGAACTGCCTCGGGGGGCCTACAACGTTCGAGTCTTTATTCACATATTTGTCCAGGTGACCCCGCTGATCAGCTCTTCAATAACAATATGCAATGCCCGGCAGAAATGGGTGGGGTGACCCTTCTGTTTGTGGTACTTACAGAAGGCGTTTTCATCTGATCCCATAAAAGACTTGGAATCCGCTGGAGGGGGAATGTTGTCCTTCTCATTCTGAAAAATCGTTGCAATGGAAAGGACGAGCGGGGTGAACCGTTTTGTCTTTGGAGGGGGTGCGGCCGCTGGGATAGGACCCAGCCGATCGGTCAATCTCGTCGGTGCAGAAGGTGTAGCCACCTTATGATCATGATCTCTTCCTCCGGTGCCGCATGCTTCCGGGTCCTATCCAGCACTTCGGCATACGCCGTGCCTGGATTCTTCTTCAGCTCTTTGTAAAGTTCCGCGGTCCGAAGGGCATTAGTGAAAAGGGTGATTGTTGTGTCCTCCATCATGCTTCCAACCTTTAGGGTCTCGTCCCTCCATCTTTTCAGAAATTTGTTGATGGATTATTTCGGTCCCTGCTTAACACTGGTCACGTAACTGAAGTGCTGCTTCGGGGTTGTACTGGAAGCGAACTGTGCCAGGAACAAGGATGACAACTCGGCGAAGCTGCCGATCGATCCAGGCTGCGGGGTTCTGAACCACTCTTGGGCAGGCCCCCTGAGCGTGCTGAAGAATAATCGGCAAATGGCTGCCTATGTTGCCCCCAACAGCATGAGCCCTCCTTGGTAACTTCTTAAATGCACATGGGGATCTCCCGCCCCATCATATGTCTGACTGGTTGGTGGTTTGGCATCCCTCTGGATTTCAGCATTCATTATTTCCCGGGTGAAGGGGGAAGTGATCCCGGCCCGTACCGGGGTGGGTTGTAGGGGTGCCATGTTCATCTGCTCTCTCATTCCAGTCATCTGCCTCCTCATTTCGGCCATTTCCTCCTCCTGGGCCGTTAGGGGAGGTGATGGTGGAGTTCTTAGATCAACAAAATCTTGATTCCCTTACGGTGGGGGTGTTCTCTCATTCTGACATCTCCGTATGAATTTGGTGTCATCACGTTCTTCATACTAGAAATGGTGCCCAATTGGCGTAGTTCCTCTGACACGGGACTCGGTCAGGGTGCGGTCACTAGGAGTGTGCTGCATGTCCCTAGCCGTGTGAGTCCTCGATGGGCTCGTGAATGAGATGAAGCCCTAGTTGTTTCTGTATCAGTGGTCTCCTCATCAAATGGTTGCATCCGTCGGAGGAGAGACGGGGTTGTGTACCCGGTTTCCCCTGTGTAGCTGGACTGCCCCCCGTCCTGCTCGTCCATCATCTGCTGCATTACTTGGGCTAAATCTCGCATGGCATGGGGGTTCCTCCTCTGTGCTTCGGGGATGAAAAAGTCCCCATCAAAGTGTTGGTAAGATCCCTGGCTGAATTATCCTTGGGAGGTCCAGCTCCCCGAAGTCCTGTTGTCCCCGCGTCGCTCCGAACTTCCACTGGTATGATGAGAGGTGATTCTGACCATCTTGATAGTAGGTTGGTGTTTGGGTAAATGGTTGGTTTGAAACTTTTCGTTCAGTTTCCCACAGACGAAGCCAAGTCGTCAATGTTGAGGTTTAGTCTCGCATATCTGAAAGCCCAACACACGCTTTGGATATTAAGGACGTGGAAAATAGATCGAGGGTAAAAGAAAATATTAAAACTAAAAGATGTTGTACTCGAAAGCCCACTTGTATTAAGTAATTCGTTAATTACACAGAAACTTCTCGAACGACAAGTCGGAACTAATACAAGAACAAGAGTGAGAAAGCTATTCTAGGCCTTGAGTATCAAAATGCTAACATTTTACAATGTAATAAATGTCCCTATTTATACTAAAAAGGGTAGGTGGGGTGATGATGTGGCTGAACCCGGCTGATTGCTGTTTTCTATCACTTGGATGCCCACGCTACCACTTGTTGACGCCATACCGTAGCATTAAATGCACCTGGCCACTTGTAGATTGATCGTTCTGGCAGTGGAATGGCAGTCCTATCTGTTGTGTTGTCAAGCTGTCCCAAATATACCATGTGATCCGTTCCCCGTTCGAGATATAGGGGTGACCTTTCGTGGACCCCCTTCTTCCCATTCAGGGTAGAGTCTTCCTGGGCCCGTTTTCCTTCTAAGATCCTTAATGGTCTTTGGGCCGGGTGTTGGGCCTTCGGCCCAAAATCCCAACAAGGGGTAAGTCTCATTTTCGATTCTTAATAACTATGATGGGAGATTAGTATGAAAATTGCATAGTACTTCTACAAGTACTAGGCCATAACCTCACTAGCTATCTATACGTCTATGATTATAGTCTAATTTACATCATGTTAGTTAACTATTTGGCCGGTGTTGGAGCGTCTAAGATGAGGTGTCACTCATCCATTTAAAAGTCAAAATAGGATATTGAGATACCGAGTCATTGGTGTTGTTTGAGTAATGGCGTTTTCAACAAAACGCTATTTTTTGAACTACAAACAATGCATTTTGCAGCGTATAGGTACCAGACAGCTGAAAAACAAATGGGCTCATTGTCTATATGTACTATGTAGTACTTTGGCTCGTTATATTCAAACTAAAGGCATGTGTAAGAGCTCACAAGAGAGTGCTAAAAGTTACAACGATGAATATGATTTCTCACGACATGTGCAGATAGATTAGGTTTTTTATTGAAGCCTTCAAGGGGAATGCCGAAATACATAACGTAAGGGTAAATTAATAATCTAAAACTAAATGGTAAAACTCCCAAAATATGAATAGAACAATGTAAAATACTAAAATAGTGCTATGTTTTTATTCTTAGATAAACATGATATGCAGTAATCACACTTATTTAAAGAACAAAAACAATCATATTTTAGAATTTCAAAATGTTTTTACTTTTAAATAATTTAAGAGGTTTTTAAACTAAATTGAATATTGTCTAGACAATCAAGAATTACTTGGGCTACTAGCTCAAATGTGGAGTTGTAGATTACACTAGGACTCACTCGTACATACTGAAAAAAACTCACTCGCGCTCCTTAACTTTAGTTATCAGTTTGAGCATGCAAAATTCTGAATTTGATTTTGCATTTACTTAATAACTGCAACTGAAACTCATTGACTCAAATCCTTTAATTTCCTATTGGTAATCAAAATCCATATATTTAATTTCAAACAAAAACGAAGTATAATGAATGTAAAACAAAACTTGTGTACATAATCAGAGAATAAAAGAAATTATGTTGCACATTATTAGTGATACATGAATCTTTTTTGGACGCATGGAGCCATGGAGGACAATTTATAATAACAGTGCCCATGAGTAGGTGTGACCCACAGTTCCAGTCCCAAAATCGGAATCGGCAACATTTAATGGAACCGGTCTGACGGTTCCGTTCAGAACCGGTCTGACGGTTCCGGTCAGAACTGGTCTGACGGTTCCAGTCAGAACCGTAATCGGGGTTAGAGTGTGGTCCCGAGTGGCCCAAAACAGGGACTGAAACTGACCAATCCAGTCCCGTTTGTTTTTCACATTGTGTACATTGGGAAGCAGCTGAAAAGGGGTGGGGGTCCTCTAACGGCACTTTTGACCGTTGGAGGGGTGGGGTTGGGAGGGGGAGGGGCAAAGAGGTCCTAAGGTCCCCAATTGAAAGCTTATATTCAAATAAAATTGCTTCATCATTTGATTAAAATGATATAGACCCGAGAAAAGTTTTGAATACTTCATGACTGTTGACACTCCCAAATCTTGACAAGTTCTATATACGTGCAAGCAACCTTATTTTTTTTACTTTTCGTAAACAGCATCATCAAAAAGAGCACTGTTTCCCTTAAATTTTGCAGAGTACCCTCATTCCATAACATGAGACATAGATCAACGACTCACATGAAGACATCCTTAGATAAATAATAATAAGAATAACAATAAACAAATATACTAGCGTGAAAAAGAAGACGGTAAAAAATACATTACATTGACTTCTGCCTGGTCTGAAGTTGAAAGCAACCTTGGCTTTTAAATTCGCCACTCATTTATTAATCTGTAGGGGTCTCAAACCTCGTTGGTGTGTCAATACCCATCATGCAGCAAAGACCAGAAATCAATATTATAAGCAAGACAAACGCCTGTAATATTAAAGAGAAGCAGTGAGTATGAGTATATGACCCCAGATGGCAGATTCCCCCATATATCCAACTCCCTCTGCTTCAAATATGTTATGTTTGGTCAACATACAACTTTTAAAATCTGACAAGGTACAATTTCCAAAAATTAGTTCTATTTCAAAAGTATAAATCTTTGTTTAAAAACTTTTTTTGGCATGATTGTTTTTGGATGGAGCCCGCAGAGGGGAACAAAAAAACGCCAGTATGTAAAATGGAAACCAATTACTACCAATAGGTTATAAATAGTTTGTAATTGATTTTGTAACCAACACGTGTATATCCGTTGGAAATACTATTCCAAAAAACTGCCTACCTCTGCTTGGATGACAGCCTGACCACCCTCTACAATTTTCTATTTTTTCATTGATAGATCCCAACTAAGTCTAGCCTCCATTAGCACAAAACCTTGGTCTAGCAACTCGAGACCACCTATGCTTTTTAAGACACTAGTTACAAGTCTGTTAGCGTATTTTTCTAGTAATACAGGGTATATGCACTTCATGCTACCCTTGCCCTTGTTTGGTTGGAGCATGGTTTAAAAAAGCGCTTGCAGGGCGGGTTTTGAGGCACGCCTCAGGGTGAGGCGTACACAGATAGTACCAGGGCTTAGGTTTTTCCGCAGGGCAAGAAGCTTACGCCTCAAAAGTTAAGGCGTACGCCTTGAGGCGTTTTCTGAGGTGTGACTTTTTTTGTTTCTATCTTTTAATGGTTTGTAACTTAAGAAAGGCCCAGTGTATTTTATTTAATAAAAGGCCCATACATTGAACATGTGTCTAGAGTCCACACTAAACCCCTAACCAAGTCTTGTTGCATTTAAATATTCATTAATCGTTAAAATGTTAGCATACTTCTTCTGCACAAGAAGTCTTCATGCTCCTGCACAAAGAAGTGACAACTTACACACACTCCATTCTACCAGGGAACTTATCTTCTACTCATCTGCTCCTCCTCTTCTTCTACATCTCTTCTCCTTCTTCATCTTCTCTCCACTTCTTGTTCCCTTTCTCTCCTCTCCTTCTTGTACTGAGCTTTGGTCATGTTTTCCTAGAACTGGTCAAGGATTTACAAGAGGCTGAAAGATAGACAGCTTAAATTAGGATCCCTAACCAACGATGAGGAAAATCTTTTGGTTGATCCGTTGATGATTTGCCATCTGACGATGAATGGCTCAAGTTCATATTTGTGTTGGTGTTTTTAGGCGTACGCCTCGCCTCTCCAGAACAAACCGCCTCGATATCTGAACCTTAGTTTAAAAAAGCACGCCTGAGGCGCGCAAAGGCGCTAGGCGCTTGCAGGCGAAGGGTTTATCGCCTTTAACTTACCCAGGCGGCTCAGAGTCTCAGAGGCGAGCGCCTTTTGCGCTTATTAGCGCCTTTTGCGCTTCTGAGAGGCGAGCGCCTTTGACGCCTCATGGACTTGCGCTGGTCTTGCAATTCCCTTCTGCGTTTTGTCTTCCTGTCTTGCGCTGGTATTATTCCGACTTCTGCGAGGTAAGTCTTTTTTTTATCTTCTGCTATTTATTCTTTTTTATTTTAAGTTCTTATATTTATAAAAATATTAAATTTATTTAAATAAAAAGTTAGATAACTGATACATATGTAGTATTATCTTTCGCTACATATAAGTTTTGATAGATATTATTATTAACATTTTTTAACATTTTTTTATATAACAGTTTATTACATTAATTATTGAAATTACTATTAACAGTTTTTATATAACTTAATGATTTAATTTATCACAGAATGACTATTAATTTATCACAGTTTATTACATGAATTATTTAAATTAATATTAACAGTTTTATAAGTTAATTATTTAATTTATCACAAAATGACTATTAATTTATCACAGTTTATTACATTAATTATTTAAATTACTATTAACAGTTTTATATAAGCTAATTATGTTTTGAAGTTTTAAGACTGAGTTTTGTGACTTGACTTTTGGAAATTATGCCTTTAAACATATATTTCTTTCTTCTGTCTTATTGTCTTTAATTAATATTTTGTTTCTTTTGTGATGTTTATTAAAACTCCGTCACGAGATCATTTTTTTTTTGTATCATGCCTGTCCCAACTCCGAAGCCAGGATAAAGGAGGAGGGTGCTGTGGTAGGCGCGTGACGGCCAACAGTATCACTTAGTCACATCACATGACATGAATCAAAATATGATGTTTATTAAGATTGTTTAATAGTTTGAAGTATTTTTGAGAAGAGTGCTTTATGTAAAAGTACTAAAAATATATTTAACCAAAGAAATGTGGCTGAGATCCGTGAGGCACGCGCCTCACCGCCTAGCGCCTAGCGCCTCGGGTAAATCAAGAAATCGCCTCAAGGCGCCTCGTGCCTTTTAAAACCAAGATCCGAACTAGCCTTTTAAACCTTGGGTTGGAGAGGAAAGTAAAGAAGCTATAGACTCCTGAACTCTTAATTTCTTTTCATCTTATTTACAATCAAATTAAAGTATGTGAAATTGTGAATGGTGCAAAAGTCAAATGGTTGCAAACTTGCAACTTATAAGGAACTGATGTAGTAATAAATATAATATCTTCATATTTTTTCTAGAATAAAAATTTCATTGAATAAAACATAATATACTTTCAAACTCTTCCATTTTCTCCCGCCTCCTCTCTTTGAAACCAAAAAAAAGGCTTTAAGGTGAAAGACTACTACATACCACAAGTATTGACTCCAAAAATGTTGCTTTGATGTGGCATACTCCATCACAAGTTACATTTCCTGATCCACTGTCAAAGCTACCTTCAGCGAGAAATCTTTCTAGCCCCCTATCAGAAGGGTATTGAATTGAGGTCAACACATCTGGTACATAAAGAACGCTGTATTTTGCATCCAATTGTTCCATGTAACTTATTAATTGAGTTAAAACTTGACCTGAATGGTTTATTCAAGATGAAGTTAGTATATATGAAACATAGTCATTTCAACATCTAAAGAAAGACTCAAAGAAGTTGAATGTTGGGCATACCCTCAGAAGCTTCTTCCCCCAATCCTTCCATGACACTGGAACCACTGTGACAGAGAACAATTAGATCTGTGTGCCCTTTGGATCTCTTCTCCATTCTTGAAAGCAGATACTTCTGCTCATACCAGTCAGTGACATGAAAAAATAGAAAATTATCACAGAGTAATTGGCCAATCCCAATTTGATCCCACAAAAAGTAGGTAATTCCTAGTTTCGAATCCCAACTTTCAATTTTCCACTTTTTATTCATGAGTCATGACTAGCTTTCATGCCACCTTTTGTCCTCTTCAGTCACCTACCAGATGATAACCAACTAGATATTGACCAGATAAGTGGCCAGAACTGGATGGGGCACATTCATAGTCATGCCCCAAATTGGAAAAAATGAAACTTGGGACAAAAGTGGGAATAGCCTTATAATCATGGGACCAAACATAAACATTTTTCTAAAAAGTTACGAGTAAATCATTTCTTCAATCATCATCATCATCATTACCCCCGTGCCGCAAAGGCTCCCACATTTGGTGGGGTAAGGGGGGTCGAATGTACGCAATCTTACCCCTGTACTAAAGCACAGAGAGACTGTTTCCGGATGACCCATAGTGAAAATCGCGTCGAAAGTTTCATGGACTGACTACTGCTTCATAACAAAGAAGCGCGGACAGTTTATGAACCATTTTGTTTTATTCCATCATATTTCCAAGCCAAAAAATAGTGACTCTTTGGCTCCATTTCTTCCATAGATAAACTAATTTACGTTGAGTCTTTTTGGTTGTTTAGGTTTATATAAAGAGTAGTTCATCATTATACAACATAGTATCTGTTAGACTGCTACTGTTATTAACCTGAACTGAGATTATGTCTGGAAGCTTATTGAAACTGTCACCATCTACAGAGCAAGACTCCGAAAAAGCTAGTCTATGGGTTTCAAGATCATTCCCACAGGTTTCACTGAACACTGAAACAAATGAGCTTTCCACTGAATGGCCCTCCTCTTCTGAAATCGCAATATAAGGAAAGGCCACAGAGAAGTTGGAGGTGAAAAAAGATGCCTGTTCACAATAATAAACAAACACATGTTCACCACTTCGCCTTAGCTTTTCTGGCAAGACAAATTTCACTCCTATAGTTATTTAAGACCAAGTTTACCTTTAGTAAACTAATAAGAGAAGAATCTGCTTTTCCAGGTCTAGAAAGATCACGGGATTGTAACTGTACAGATAAGAATCTAGTCAGCTTATTCGACAGAATAGATACACTCAATTTGTCTAAATAAAGTCATGCTTCAAAGTTCAAAAGGCTGTTTTTATCCCAAAAAGAGTCCTATTTCATCAAACGGGGCAAAATTTTCATGTATTTCACCAAAAAGAGTTACCATCATGTTTAATACAGAGTATGATAGGTTTAGTTAAAGCAAAACGTAACATTTAAAATGAAAGGACTCCATTGCTTTTAGACGTAGCACATAGGTGACCTAGCCAAAATTAAAAAACTTTTACATTAACCATATGGGACTCTTTTTTTAACAGCAGGACTGCAGGAGTAACAAATATTTTTTATGTCAAGTAAATCAATTGAAGTTGTTTTGTTCAAGAAGTTGCTATATGACTGTTTCATAACTTTATTCAAGAACTTATACAAATGTAAATATGATGCACAAAAACTACTGGAATAAACTTTAAGTTACGGTTCTTCCTTGACCGGACATAGTATGCAAATAGAGTAGGATATGGTATTTGATAGGATGGCTCAAGATGTACCTCTTTTCCCACAAACACAAGTCCGATATCCAGAGGTTGCTGAGCACCCTTATTCGAGCACTAATGAAGGGCAGAAACTTTAATTTATTTACTTTTTTCCCCTTGAGTTAAGAACATTAACATAAAAATTAACTGAACTATAGCAATACAAGGGATAGAGATAGTACCAGTAACTTTGACCAACAGCCTTCAGACATAACAGACTTCACTAAGTCTTTAGGACTGAGGGTTCGGTAATCTACAGTTTGACTTGTTGAAAACCTGTAAGATTGACAGAAACACAGCATATACAACATTATATATGCTACTAGAAAGACGAAAGAACTCTATCAAGATATCAATTCATATATACTACATGGCTCCTTATGAAGTTTACGTTCTTTAACAGACCAAAAGAGCAAGAAGTCATAAAGAGGAGGAGTCAAAATGTAAAATCACTAGAATGCATGATGCATTTTAATTCTTGCAAGCAGAATGCCATTTTTTACATGGAGAAGTGGGTTAGAGGTCCGAGTGATTAGCTTTTTATTTGATGTATCTTGCAAGGCATATTGCTCATTTGATGTATCAAGCAGAATGCCATTTTTTTCATGGAGAAGTGGGTTAGAGGTCCGAGTGATTAACTTCTTATTTGATGTATCTTGCAAGGCATATTGCTCATTTGCTACAAAATAATCAGTTATTAGCTATTTCCAGATATTAGCAATGAATCTCTCTGGGATAAGATGTACTAGAAGGGAAAGTATTACTCCGTCCACCCCAAATGAATAGTCGTGTTTAAAAGTTGTTTTCTTGTCCCAAAAAAGAGTAATGTATCAAACATTTATTGTCACATAAAAGAGTCATATTTCATCAAACAAAGTTTAACACGATAATGTAGTTTAAGAAAACAAATATATTTTCAAGATATAAGCTTGAATTGATAAGGTTGTGCCTTGTCAAAATTAATTGACAGATCCTTGAAAAAAATGACTCCTTGGGGGGAGGGAGTTTTATACTACGTATATTATTAAATGCAAAACAACCAAGTAGCCCCAAATTAACACCGACATTTCTCATCACCGGCGACTATTCTCATGTAGGAAAGACACCTTTCCATGGCTTGAACATAGTGAATTGCAGCAGCGGATTACATACGCTAGGGCTATGGATGTTTTTACTTGGACTAAAATTTGTTGGTCAGGTCTGATCTGGTTTGTTTAAGTCTGGTCTGGTCTGAACTCGTCTGGTAAATGGGTGGTCTCTTTGTATTTTATAACTACAAAAGTCAGGTCTGGTATGGTCTAGTTTGTTTAAGTCCGGTATGGTCTGTTTAAATCTAGTCTAGTCTGGGATTGAAAACGGTCAAAGTAAAAACATCCTATGGTGGGGGATAAAGGGCAAACTAAATTTTTCTTAAAATTTTTGTGTAAACTTTCTCCTTTTTCCTGTTTAGCCACCAGCTAATGCTTTAGCTGTTATAATTACTATACAGCTCAGTCCAACTCAAATTTAAAAACTGGTATCCAACCCTCTTGAATGGAACTGAATGTACCCTAAAATGGAAGGAAATAATATGTACCCATCTTGGTGGGGTGACCAAAGGATAGAAGGACCCATGGATGGTAGAGTAAGCCCGGGAAGAAACTGAATCGTGACGGCCAGCACAGTAACCAAAAACACTGTAAGTGCTCTCATTCTTGTTACCTAACATAGCAAAGTACGAGGATAAGGATATAAACATTAGAAGTATAACAACGGATAATAATTCCACAGCAGAACACGTAACAAAAATCTACAATCGTGAACTAAAGCAACATCAATGGGGTAAATCGCTGTAGATTTGAGACCATAAATCACATTCAGAAGATCGAATAATGGGGATCCGATTAAATAATCTGATGCAGCAAGCACAAAATCTTTATCTTACCTTTAGTTCTAGCTTGATTCAAGGTGGATCTGGATTGAGATGACTTGCCCGCTAAGTCGATGTTCCTAGACAAATTTCTACCGGTATGCCTTAGACCTGGGTCAGCGGTTTTCGGTTAGATTGGAACAAGAAGAGCAGGTTTTTGGAACTACTTTCCATTATGAGCACAAGAGCTTTACTAGTCCGGTTCGAAACCTCTTTTTTAATTAACTAATTAATTAATTAATAATATTATTATTAATAATATTAATAAATCTAATAATTATATGAGTAAAATGCATAAATGGTCCTTGAACTATCATCATCATATCGTTTTGGTCATTGGACTATTAAATCTATTATTTTAGTCCTTAATCTATTTCATCTATATTATTCGAGTCCTTCCGTTAAATTTGCCGTTAACTTTGACGAAAGCTAATTAACTTATTAACATCTCATAATTTTAAACATTTTGGAATAATACAATCATTCTTAAAATTTAAGTAGCTAATCTAGTTTTTTTAAATATACATATATGTACACATACACATATAAAAATTATAAAAAATGTAAGGGTAAATTAGTCCATAAAATTTATTTATTGTATTAAATATTATGAATTTAAATATGGAGTATTCTTTTTTTGGTGGGGGGGGGCTAATGAGGTCATGTATTGAGAAGGTGGATGAATTTTAGTCATACCTAGTTTTATTCTTTTCTTAATATAATTAATAATAATAACAATCACCCTCGTTTTCTTATTTAATTTTATCTGCTCAAATGTATATAATTGATTATTTGATTATCTCTTATATACTATCCTCTGTATCACATTAATTGCAACATTGAAATATATACACTATTCATGTACTTTACTTTGACTACATTTTATTTATTAATGTATGTGAATTATTTTTTTTAAAAAAATATTGTTAAATTCGTCTCATTACTAAGTTTTATAATCTGATTTTTATTTTATTTTTACTAATACAAAATTAAATATAATGACGGTCAAAGTTGTGCGTTGGCAAACGTGAAATGTTGACTGTTCCAACTAAAAAAGGACAGAGGAAGTACTACGTAGTACGTATTGTTGAGGCCATACATTTGATTTTATATTATTTATTTATAATTTATATATGTGTATGTGTACATATATGTATATATATATAAAACACTAGATTAGCTACTTAAACTTCAAAATGATTTTATTGTTTCAAAATGTTTAAAATTATGAGATGTTAATAAATTAATTAGCTTCCGTCAAAGTTAACGGCAAATTTAACGGAAGGACTCGATTAATATAGATGAAATAGATTAAGGATTAAAATGATAGATTTAATAGTTTGAGGACGAAAATGATATGGTGATGATAGTTCAAGGACCATTTATGCACTTTACTCTAATTATATTATAATAATAGTATTAGAAATTGTAGAAATAAAAATTAATCCGTATAAGAATCATCAGTTACTAATACAACTTACAAATTATATACAAATATAATAATTAAAATCCTCGTCTAAAGTTTGTCTTCATTAACTAAGAAAAGTCATTTCAGCAGATTGGATGATTCAAGAGGCGTTAATTTTGAATGAAAATTTATGTTGATTAATCGCGTTTTCTAAATCTAGCTCTTTCCTAGGCCGTCCTAGGGTTTTTCCGGCGCCGTCCGCAACGACGATCGTGTCCGACAATTCAGCTCTCGGTGTAGAGGGTGTTGTTCAGACAGAAGCATGAGTATTATGAGTTGGAACTGCAGGGGTCTAGGAAATCTCGCTACGGCTCAGTGTGTTACAGACCTGGTGCGGATGAATAGGCCGTCCTTGTTGTTTCTTATGGAAACGAAGATTGAAGGAATAAGAGTGATGGACATACTTAGACGGCAAGGTTTTCGTCAGGTCATGGCGGTGGATAGCATAGGGGCGAGTGGCGGAATCGCAATGGGATGGAATGACGAGCTGTCCGTATCGGTTCTATCAACTAATTCACAGTTTTTTGATTGCTCAGTTCGGATGCAGGAGGAGGAGAGAGAATGGCGATTGACGTGTTACTGCGCTTTCCCTGAGACCGGTAGGCGACGAGAGGCGTGGCAGATGTTAGGGAATTTGGCTGAAAACTACTCAGGTCCATGGATGATAATTGGTGACTTTAATGATATTCTCTATGAATCGGAGAAGAAATGGCCCGTCCCACAACCCTTGTGGAGATTGAGAGGGTTCCACGAGGTAGTGTTTCGCAATGGTCTCGGGGATTTTCTGTTTGAAGGCTACAGGTGGACTTGGGATAGGGGTAATAACACGGCTCAGTGGGTTGAGGAAAAATTGGATCGTATTATAGTGAATGATGAATGGTGGAACATGTTTATGGAAGCCAGGGCTTTCTCCTTGGAGGCACCAGTCAGCGACCACATGGCGCTGTGAATTCAAGTAAAAGCCACCGTTCACCAGAGAAGACAGAGGAAATTCAAATTTGAGAATGTTTGGCTTAAAGAGGAAGAATGTCGTACTATAGTTACCAATAGCTGGAATGCGGGGGGGGGAGCATTTATCTGTTAATGAGAAAATTACTTTCTGCGGAAAAGAATTGCTGAGATGGGATAGGTGCAGACCTAAAGGCTTCAGAAATCGAATTATTGCTTGTAAAAAATGTCTTGCCTGGCTCCGGGGCAAAGAAGATGGTGATAGTGTGGCTGAATTTGTTAAGCTGAGGTCAGTAATTTATTTACTAATGAAAAAAGAGAACTTATACTGAAAACAGAAGGCAAAGGAGTTCTGGCTGAAAGAGGGTGATCTGATTCAAGATTCTTTCATAATGCAGTTAAACAAAGGAGGAGGAAAAATAAAATCCAAGGGCTCAGGTCCGCGGCAGGGAAGTGGCTAACGGATCGAAAACAGACGGGGATGTTGTTCGACAATACTTCATTAATATATTCCAGGAACAGGGGGGAGACATACAGTGGGAGGAGTGTGGAGTTTTCAGAGTGGTCTCGGCGGAGCAAAATTTGGGGTTAATTCAGCCGATTAGGCCAGATGAAGTGAAGGAGGCTATTTTTGATATGCACCCGGACAAGGCCCCAGGAGCGGATGGTATGAATCCTGCTTTTTTCAAAAGTTTTGGGACATTGTTGGACCGGAAGTTGTTAAATTGTGTTCGGATATGTTTGAAAACGGAAAGCTGCCAGGTGAGCTGAATGTTACTAATATTGTTTTGATTCCTAAAAAAGATAAACCTGAAGGGATGGGGGACTGGAGGCCAATTGCACTTTGTAATGTGGTGTATAAAATATTTTCAAAAATATTAGCCAACCGTATGAAAGGTTTTTTGGGGATGTTAATTGATGAGTGTCAGAGTGCTTTTATTCCTAGCACATCCATAGTGGATAATATTATTCTAGCCTTTGAAACTCATCATTATTTGAAGAGGAAGACCACAGGTAGTGAAGGTTATGTTGCTCTTAAACTATAAACTAGATATGAGTAAAGCTTATGACCGTGTTAGTTGGGCTTTCCTCAGTTTTTTTATGCAGAAGATGGGTTTTCATCCGAAGTGGATAAATCTGGTTATGCAATGTGTTTCTAGAGTCAAGTATTATGTTCAATTTGATAATGAATTCTTGGGACCGATAGTTCCTAGCAGAGGGTTAAGGCGAGGGGATCCTCTGTCCCCCTATCTATTTATTTTGATAGCTCAGGGTCTTAGTGCATTAATTCGAAGAGTTGAGAGTAGAGGAGAATTTCACGGTGTGGCAGTCTGCCGGGGGCACCCCGCATTACTCATTTACTGTTTGCTGATGATAGTTTTCTCTTTTTTAAAGCTGACAGTACATAGTGCATGGTGGTTCAAAACATCTTACACAGGTATGCAACGCTTTCAGACCAGTTGGTAAATTTTAATAAATCCTCCTTGAGTTTTAGTCAGAATGTGGGAGAGCAATTCAGGGATTATTGTTGCAATTTTTTCGCTATACCGAGAGTTGGAGGCTCCAATTTTTACCTGGGTCTGCCGGCTTGGTAGGGAAAAATAAATCGGTTATTCTGGAATATTTAAAAGATAGAATTGTCACTCGCATAAAATCTTGGAATAATCGTTTCCTTTCACGTGCTGGGAGGGCTGTTTTATTGAGATATGTTATCCAATCTTTGCCAAATTATGCGATGAATGTTTTTTTACTACCCAAGAGTTGTGTGAGGAAGTGGAGAAACTGATGAATGGCTTTTGGTGGAAGGGTTCAAAATTTGACCAAAAAGGTTTGAGGTGGAGGAGATGGGAGTGCCTTTGCGAACCAAAGGAAGCTGGGGGATTAGGTTTCCGTAGAGAATTCGGGAATTTAACATAACCATGCTAGCTAAGCAAGGTTGGAGATTGGTTGCTGAAGAAGGTACCCTCATGTACCGTGTTTTAAAGGCTAAATATTTTCCATCTTCCAGTTTTCTTCATGCTAGACCGGGCAATAATCCATCTTTTATTTGGAGGAGTATTTTTGAGACCCAAGAGTTCCTGAAAAATAATTTTCGCCGTCGATTTGGTAATGGTGTTGAAACACATGTGTGGTCAAAACGACAAACTATTCATCATTTTTTCCTACGTGAATGGGCAAAACGTTATAATCTAAAAAATGTAAAAAATAAAAAATCTTAAAATAATAAAAATTTAAAAACAAAAAAATTTAAAAATTAAAAATTAAAAAGTTAAATAAAAAATTTAAAAAATTAAAAATTAAATAAAAAATAAAAAATTTAAAATTTTAAAATTATAAAATAAAAAACTAAAAACTATAAAATTACAAAATTTTAAAATTATATAATTATAAAATTAAAAAAAAAATTATAAAATTAAAAAATTACAAGTTTTAAAATTAAAAAAATTAAAAGATCTAAAAATAAAAAAATAAAAAATATAAATTTAAAAGTAAAAAATCTAAAATAAAAAAAACATATTATGACTCGTGACCTTAGGAGAAATATTCACAATAGTTAAAGATGTATTTAATTTTTTAAGTAAGCTATAAAATAAAGGTAAATTGGGAAAATATTTTCATTATACTTTCATTCTATTTCTTCCATACCAAACACAAATCTTTATCAAAATCATTCCTCCACTTTCCCTTTCCTTCCCTCCTTGACTCTCCCCTTCCCTCCCCTTCTTAGATCATTTGTAGCGGTGTAGGATTATGAGTCCAAAATGTTAAAGTTAGAAATTTTGGACTCCTAATTTAGTGTAGTAGTA